TAATATGGCTAGAGGGAGGGTGAATAGCCTATTTAAAAATCTACAAGATTACTAGAGCAATTTGATTAGTATGACAAATAGCAAAATGCAAACTTGCTCTAGCTCTACAAGGGTTGCAAGCCACCTATCCAACAATTCTAGTTACTATTATCACTAGGCACTCAAATGGTAAGTCACTACTCACTAAGAGCCCTCACACTTGCTACACTAAAGAGCTCCACTAGATGATCTTAAGCTACAAAGCAAGCTCTCAATTCTAGCTACACTAAAGAGCTTGCTACAACTAGTTTGCGAGAATGTAAATGAATGAGTTGGATGATTATACCGCCGTGTAGAGGAGTGAACATTTCAGCTCTCCACCGGGGAAGGTACAAGACCCCTCACAATCACCGGAGCCAGCCACGAACAATCACCAACATGTGCCAAAGCTCCTCCACTGCTCCAAGCCATCTAGGTGGCGGCAACCACCAAGAGTAACAAGAACTCCACAGCCACAATGATCCCCAAGTGCCACTAGATGCAATCACTCAAGCAAATGCACTAGGAATCACTTCCAATCTCACTATGATGATGAATCAATGATGGAGATGAGTGGGAGGTGTTTGCTTAGGCACACAAGGATGTCAAGTATGTCAAAGTGTTAAGAGAGTCATCCCTAAGCCGGCCAAATAGTATTTATAGACGCCCTCAAAGGACTAGAGCCATTAGGCTCTCACTCCACCTTTTCATGGGGTGTCTGGATGCATAGATGGGTGTGACGTATTAGACGTAGACCCCCAGCGTCTGGTCCACCATCTCTGTCCACTGTCACTACCTTCGAACCTCAGTCATCTAGCTTCAACGGTCAAGTTTCTAATCGCTCGTGCATTAAGTGACGACCGGACGCGCTCCTCCAATGACCTGATGCCACGCAAGGCCGAGTCTGGTCAGTTCCAGTAAGCTCCCAGAGCATGATTTTTGTGACCGGACATGTCTGGTCGCAAGCGACTTGACGCGCCCCAGCGTCCGGTCCTCATACTGCTTCTCTGCGCGCGCCCACGAAGCTAACGTCAGCCTACGTCAGCATGAGCTGACTCGCGCCATGCGCGTTCGGTCCCACCAACCGCCAGCATCAATAAGTGATTAGGCACGCAGGTGACAGTGTTCGGTCGCTCTTCGGCCCTCTTGGCCAGCTGTGCCGCGCTGCTTATAAATGACCAGACGCGCCCGGGGTGAGTCCGGTCACCCCGAGGCTAGCGTCCAGTCGTGGACCTTCTCCTCTTTTTCTTTTTCTAAGTCCACAACCGCTTCACTCTCGCTTCCAACCTACTAACCATAAAGTGTAGAACTTGTGTGCACGTGTGTTATCATTTTTCAAAACATTTTACAAGGGTCAAGGTTAGCACACTGGGTTCCTAAATGCATATGCAAGAATCATGTCACCTAGTGGCACTTGATAAACCGTTTAGCCAAAGATTTCCCCTCTTTATAGTACGGCTATCGATCCTAAATACACTCACACCCTCTATGGTGTCTTGAGTGCCAAAACAAAAACCTATTTGATACATTTGCCTTGATCATCTCGGTTTTTATTTTCTCTTTCTTCTTTTCCAAGTTGAGCTTGATCGCTTTCAACACTTGTCCATCTCCATCTTCATGGACTTCATCACCATGCTCCATCACTTGGTATGTACCAACCTTGCTCACATGACACTCATGACAAATGTTAGTACTTAGGTTTCATAAATTAGCCAAAACCAAACTAGGGCTTTCAGTGAGATCGTACAAATGTCTTGTCGGGACGTATTTGGATGGGGGTTCTTCATACCTGTCCTCACCACTTGGCGGTGTTGTCTTGTCTCTACTGCGTGGCGCTGGGACGGTGTCTAACTGGACCAAGGTGACCACTGTCCCCTCGGTCCTTACAGGGGGCAGTGCGGCGTGCTTGCTCTTATCAAAGCAGGCACACTTGGTGGGCTCGATCTCTCCCCATTCCTCCTAGGGTTTGGGATGGTGAGAGGTTGTGAGCTGCTGTATGGCGTGTGGTCAAGGCAGGAGAGAGGGGTCGTCGCCGACCCTAGCCTCAGTGATTGGCCCATTCCGCTTAGCTTAGTTGTGCCTTGGTTGTTTGGGCTCAAGCTTAGCTTTGGTACCATGAGCTGCCTAGCCTACTAGCTAGTCGATGCCTTGAGACACCTAGGGATCATAACCCCGACAATATGCGTACTGGACGGTGTTTTTAGTCTGGACTACTCTTGGAAACTGAGTTACACCCAAATTTGACTTAGATTGGGCCTCTATCTTGACTTTGATGCCCTTGCCGGTCTTCACCACCTCCATGACTCTCTCTAAGTACTTCATGATCCTCTCCAATGTTCTTATTAATAATAACATTATTAGGCAGTGATCTATTCTCATAATCATATTAAAAAGATAGCTTAGGAACATGCTCACCTCTAGCTTTAATTGTTGCGTTCGAGCTTTAGTCATCGGTCCTTGTACAGTGGTTGGAGGAGCGACATGTGCATCTGAAAGAGTGATGTCCTTATCATGTGGTCACGAGCTCGATTGTTGGAGATGCACTGGGATGCCAAGTAAGCGTGTGAGAGGATGAACACAACATTGATGGGGATGCCTCCGTCCCATCAATTTCAAGGGATGGGTGTGACATGGATCTAGGAGGAATTAATATCCCCCCTAGGGGTGACCTGGAACCAAACACTGGTAAAATGGGGATCATCCCATCCCACCCATAAAACCTTGCAATCAAACACAAGCTTAGTCATCATATAGTTAGTTTTGGTAAGGATCTTGATGTGCCGGCAACTTCCACTGAATCCCTACACTGTTTGTGATCTCTAAGGTTATGGTGCCATGGTCGTCCACACGGATGAGTTGTATAGGAGCATTGGCGGAGGGTAGTGAAGGCAAAGATGGGAGCTTGCCTCCCCTTCCTCCCTGCGTTGACCACTAGTCTTCATTTGTTCTTGTCAACTCATGTGGCTGACGTAAACATTCATAGTTGTAGCTTAATTGCCCCTCCCTCCTGCTTTATTTGGCACCATGCTCCGTCACTGCATAGTAGTATCAATTAACACAGGATGTTGTTGCCATAGAGTTGACCTCGATGCACCATCACGTATGTTGAAAAAACATATGCCTCCTGACCGAATGCGTCACCACGTGAGCAGAGCTATATTTAGTACAGGTGTGGTCGCACCCACACAAAAATAGAATAACAGTGGTAAGAGTTGAATTTTCATCATATTTGTACCCTTATATCACAAATCTTTATACTAAAAATGCGAGTGCACCCCTTTGAATTTACCCTAGTTTGATCCCTGCATCAGCAGGCTCTAGATGTCAATTTGTTGGCAATACAATGCCTGCCATCCCCCGCCACCCAACTTAGGCGAACACGAGGAAGAAGACCAGCACACACAGTGTTTTGTGTTGCCAAGAACTGAGCAGCGTTTTTAGTTGTATTGATTGATGATTGGCTATATATTAATAATAAGGGGCTCAAGCGTTTCTACCCCTGTTTTGAAGCGCATTTGTGATTTTTCCTTCGCTTTTTTAACTTTGTGATTTTACTCTTGCAATTTTTAAACGAAGGAAAACTTTACCTCTGTCTATGAAGTCCCTCTAATGGTGTTAACTATTGGACAAAAGACAACTTTGTCCATACGTTTTTACCTCTGTTTTATTATGTTATTTGTGTTTTTACCCCTATTTTCACACAACAAGTTGACATTTTTTATACATAATTTTTAGAAAAATTCTTCAACATTTTAGCTAACAATCCACATAAACACAATTTAATATGACACACAACAAGTACATATAAAACAGATCCATGTAACATGTCATCATAGTACCATAATAGAAGCCAACATACATGTCCAAATGACATGTCAAACACCAACATATAGGTCTAAATGACATGTCAAACAACAGTAGGAGCTACTAGTGAATTCTCTTGGCAACTAGTAGTGAGCTACATATCAAGCATCGAAACCTAACAAAGTAGCAAGCCTCCCAGAAGCTGCTCCTCTTCCCCTTCATGAAGCACTTGTACTTTATATGAAAAAATAGAAGAGTAAAGTTACTAAAATATGTAGTAAAGAGAAGCAATGTTGGCTTGTCTTACTTTGTCTCATTGTTGGCCTCTGCTGACACATCTACTAATCGCTGCTATTTTCTACTGCATTGAAGCACATATCTCAGAAAATGCTGAATATACCTAGGCTCTTCCATGGTGGCCGACTGGAGCTCTCCTGCTGTGGGCGCGAGCTTGGGGGCTGGGGCAGCTAGTGAGGGCCTAGCCACGCCACCGCGGGCGCGAACCGGGGCGAGGGGTCGGGGTGGGCTCGGCCGTAGGCCACATGGCGCCCCAGCTAGTACCCGCGCCACTGAGGGGGAGCGGGGCGGAGGGAGGATGAGCCGTGGGGTGGGCGCTGGGGGAGAGGAGTGGAGGGGGGGGGAGGATCCACGTCGCCGCCTGGTGGCCGAGCTGCCGGCGAGAGAAACCCTAGCGCGAGTGAAAGAGCCGCGACTCGGGTCGAGACTTCGAGAGTCGAACGGTTTGAGTGAGGAAGGAGAAAGGTACTGAGGGGTATCACTGTCTTTTGGCCTACGTGCCATTTTTTTGCCATTTAATCCAATCTTTTCCGACAATGTTTCATAGTAGGGGAAAACGGGGGTTTCATTTGAAAACATCGAGGGTAAAATCATAAAGTTAAAAAATAAGGACAAAATCACCATTAGACTCTGGAATAGGGGCAGAAACATCAAATCCCTAATAATAAAGAAGCACAAATTATTAGATTATAGGATTATGTAGGCTGCCCTACATGCGTGCCTCTCAACGAGCCGCATGAGGCAACACGGAAAAAGAAGGACGCGCTAGCTCCGCATGAACTGGGCATGCGTCCAGCTCTATCGACTGACACACGCGACCATCAAATTGCATGTTAGGCCGCACTTAGACGACGACGTTACTGAACATTGGGGAAACAAAATCAATGGGAATGTTCATAAGGGACCATGTTGGAGAGCGTGCGGCAGATCTCGGACATCTCGATGAGCGACCTGTTGTGGTCCTCCATGGGGTTCTGGGAGCCGGCCTTCCTGAACTCCTCATCGCAATTCTGCATGTCCTGTGCCGCCATGCTCATTGTGGCGCGGATGGTGACGGCGTCCCTGAAGCCGATGGCGCGCTTGCAGGCGCCGAGATTGTCCCCGGCATCCAGGTAGTAGCTTTTGCAGAGGTTCAGTGCCCTTCGCACCAAGGGCGTCGGAGCCGTCTTGACCTCCTGCTTCGCGAGCTTCCGCGCCGCCTTGACGCGCTTCTTGAACGCGTCCACCTGCATCTCTAGCACCGTCACCGCGTCCACGACCTTGTACTTCTTGGCGTGCTTCCCCGCCGTCCTGGTGCACAGATCGGGGAAAGGGGTGTTCTTGCAGACCTCCGCCACCCCAGCTACTCCCCCAGTGGCCGCCACCGGGCGTGCGGCCAGGAGCACGACGGCAGCCGCGAGGACGATGAGCAGCGCGCGGGCTCGGGCCATCGCTAGCCGATGGTTTTTATTAGTCGTAGGGTTAGTTTGTGCAGGAGGCCGGTGGGGGGTGCGGAGGGGCTGAGCAAGACTTCTTAATTGGACGGGACCGACGAAGGTAGATATAAATACTCCAACCTACTTGAGACGGGTGGCTCTGTATGCATATGGACGACGGAAATGACGGCTCTCCTCTATTGCTCGGGCTGCCATGGTCCGCTCGCTGTCGTCGATGGCGTTGGGATTGTACTAAGCTAAGATACCCTAGCTAAATAATGGCGAGCCTCATAGCCTCATCTCCTCCTTTCGTTTCGCTCCTTACTAATTTGAGATGGTCTAACGGCCAGGAATAGAGCATAGAGCACGTGACAAAAAAAACTAAAAGACCAGCACAATTTGATATTTGGTCTAACGTATGCATGGTCTTGGTATTTGGTTGTTTTGTACATGCAAGCTATATTTGGTAAAATTGTGTTTGGTTGTTCAAATTTTGTTGCATGTAGTCACCGTCATGTTCTAGTTGAGGTCTAATATTTCTAGTAGAGGTATCGAAGATGCTTTAGTTTTGTGTGTGCATCGGTTTCTGCAAACATGCATTGTCTAATACAACTAAAACCGGTGTACTAGCTAATGCAGCACTGGGTCTGCTTTGAGCATTGTACAAGTCTACAAAGAGGCTATGTTGCAGGCAACTAAACACGAGGAAACTGCACCACACAAGTGTATAGGCCAACATGCAACCAAATCAAATATGTTTCTACTCCAACCATTATTCCAACAATATGAATTTACTGATTTACCCTTAGTTAAATAATAAAAAATATAAAATTCCTAATAGTGGCTTCATATTTTTTTTCACGATTCCTATCAATCAGACGACTGATTTTTTTTAGTCCTATTCAGACAATGTGGCTCTACTGCTTGCTTCCTGCTTTCGCCCAACCTGCGGACCACTGGCGGCAACCATTCATTCAAATCCAACGACCGTAAAGCATCACCTGAGAGATTGCTTGACTACTTTTCAGATATGTAAATTAGCATCTCCACTAGTGCACGACTGGGTAGCAGTCTCAGTTGAGAAACCCCCTTTATTCCCGGTTTCCCAACTAGGACTACCAATCTGGGACTAAAGGCCCCCCTTTAATCCCGGACCTAGTAACCGGGATTGAATGGGGTCATTTAGTCCCGGTTCCTTATACCAACCGGGACTAAATGGGCCTCCAGGCCAAGCCCGAGGGTGGGCACCTACAGTCCCGGTTGGTTAGGTGGGTATAACCAACCGGGACTAAATACCATTTTTTTATTTTTGTTTTCTTTTCTTTTACAGTTTCTTTTCATTCAATTTGTTTTGGTTTTAAATAGTTTTTTACATGAATTAGAGGCTATACTATTGTACGGTCATCCGATCTATAAATAAGAACGAAACTAATCAAGTAAGAGCTTATATATTACAATAATTTAAAACAAGTCATTACAAACTAGATGTCCAACTTAAAATATTCCATACTATATGTCCAAGTACACCCCAAAATTCATGCAAACATAAGTAGAAAGAAATACCTTTGACTTTCTCGTATTTTCAACTCGGCGAAGTGTAGATCGCCGATGTAGTATCCACAAATGTTATTGACGTAATTCAAGGCATTAAATAGTGCACTCTCCCTTGCTTCAAAAGTACAAGCACGAGATCTACTAACAATGGTTGGCGGTGGCTGAGAAGTCGGTGGGTCAGATGATCCCCTCTTAGCTGCAAGCAGCTTTTCCTGAAATCCTATCGTAGTGCGTGTTGGTCATTCATCGGCATATTTGCAATCATAACCCAATGCATACATTGTTTGGTTTAGAATGGCTTCAAAGCTGCAACCTGCGTAGGTTAAGTCATAGTCCTCAACCTGGAATTAAGTGTTGGCAGAAAAAATGGATATGAGAACTAAGCTTTCCAATAACAACAAATCTGGATACAAGCTATGAGTTCGACTTTGACTTACCATATCATTCCGGTTGTTTTGAGCCATCCTTGCACAAAAGCCTGCAACATCATGATAAGAGCCCGCATCTATAGTTTGTATCGACACAGAGGAATAAGTAGGCAAGGTGTACCCAATATTCGCAAGTTTATTTACACATGCTAGGACAACATATTTTAGTGCAACAGCCTTATCAGGTGCCTTTACTCCCACCTCCAAGATTTGTACTACAACTCGACCCCTCCTAGCGGCGATGGATAAGCCAACTCGATATTGGATGAATCGACCAATATCTACCTCAAAGCTCTCAACATCCACAACCTCAACTCCAAAATTTGAGAGTCTCTTTAAGCCAAATGATTGAGTCAATTACCTACGTTATATTTAAGACACACATATATACATATCAGAACAATATATTGTGTACAAGCATAATTAAAACATATTGATATATCGTTGCTTACTATGCTAGGATGGTTGAACAGCACATTCGGCAACACTGGATCGAATCCACGAGTAATTGTATAGCCCCAACTTGGGACAATCGGTTCAAGGAGACGTCTAGCCATCTCTTGTTACTAAAGTTAATATATCAAAATTCATATCACTGGAGTCAATATATGAATTCATACACCAAAATTCATATATATCACTGATGTAAAAAAATTTCATACCAAAATATCAGGCACTAAAGTCTATGTATCAAAATTCACATATGTAAACCATATATACCAAAATTTATATAACTGGACCCTATATATATACACAATGCATGCATATCATATATATACAATATATAACAGTAATGTCAATATATCAAAATTCATATACCAAAATGCATATTACTAAAGTCTATATATCAAAATTCATATCTATAAACTCTATATATCAAAATTCATTTAACTGGACCCTATATATATACCAGATGCATAAAGCAAATACTAGTCAGATCAAATAGAAATAGTTAGCCAATTAGCTTAAGATAGGGGTGAGTGATCGGTTTCACACAGCACGAAGGGATGAGAAGGGGTTGCAAAACGAGTATTGCCACCTGCCAGCAGACGAGGACAAGGATGAGAGCACGCTAGGGAGGACGACGAGGACGAGGTCGGCCGGAGGACGAGGACGAGGGCGCCACCATCGCGCGCACCGGGGATACGAGGATGAGGGCCTACCGTGCGAGCCGGAGATGAGGGCAAGCCACGCAAGCCGGAGCTGAGGACGAGGGCGAGGACAGCCAGCTGCTGGAGGATGAGGATGAGGGCACCGCCACCGCGCGCGCTGGGGAGATGAGGACAAGGCCCGTTGCGCGAGCCGAAGATGAGGGCCAGCCATGTGCGCCGAAGCCAAGGATGAGGGCGAGGCCAGCCAGCCACTAGAGGACAAGGACGAGGGTGCCGCTACCGCACGCATCGGGGAGACATGGACGAGGGCCCACCGCACGAGCCGGAGACAAGGATGAGCCGCACGTGCCAGAGCCGAGGATGAGGGCAAGGCCGGCCAACCGCTAGGGGACAAGGATGAAGGCGCCATCGCCACACGTGCCGGGGAGACGAGGACGAGGGCCGCTGCGCGAGCCGAAGACGAGGGCGAGCCGCGGGTGTCAGAGCTAAGGATGAGGGCGAGGCCGGCCGGCCATCGGAGGATGAGGACAAGGGCACCACCGCGCTTGCCGGGGAGACAAGGATGAGGTCCCACCATGCGAGCCGAAGAAGACGGCGAGCCACGCGTGCCGGAGCCAAGGGACGAGGCAAGGCCGGAGCCGGAGAAGCAGGCGCAGTCGGATAGACGTACAGCAGGGGTGGCGCACGCGGCGAAGTGGCAGATCCGACGCTTGAAAGGAGAAAGAAGAAGAGAAGACACGAGTATATGTAGGGTCGGTACCCTTTAGTCCTAGGTTGGGCCACAAACTGGGACTAAAGGCCTTTTAGTCCTGGTTATTGGCCTAACCCGGGACTAAAGCCAAATTTTGGCGCATGGTGAAACTGCTGTCTACCTGGCAGTTTCGTTTCCCGCCCAAGCAATAGTTTTTAACATTTCCTTTAACATAAATAGGCTAAAAATTAGAAATTGCATAGTAAAAAATAGCTCAAATGAAAAAGTTGTCAACTATAAAGTTGCATAACTTTTCGAGATATACAACTTTCGTTCTGGTAATTTCGCCATTTGAAGACATTTTAAAAATTCAAATTTCAAATTTCACATATTCATACATAAATTTTCTTGACAAAATGATTTTAAATCAAAAAGTTATCAACTACAAAGTTGTATAACTTTTCGAGATTTAAAACTTTTATTTTGGATATTTCTCCATGCGACAAAGTGGTAGTAAACATTGTTCAAAATTTACATATCTCTCAAATAGTTATGAATATATGAGAGATATGTAAATTTTGAACAATGTTTACTACCACTTCATTGAATGAAGAATGACCAAAATGAAAGTTGTAGATCTTGATTAGTTCTACAACTTTTATGTTCATGAATTTTTCAGTTGAATTTATTTATTGCTTCAAAATATTGTTTGAAGTTGCTATTTTTTTAGAATCAAATTTTGAATTGATAAAACAAATTCACATGAAAAGATGACCAAAATAAAAGTTGTAAGAACACAATAAATTTATAGAGCATAATTTTAGAAAATTTTAGGAAAAAGATCATCAAATTTGAAGTTAGTATGACGGAGAAAGACTAGTTACAAGTTTTAGCTAGAGATTAAAAAGAGAAATCAAACTTTTTTAAAAATTTAATTTCAAATAGAATTTTGAAATAGTAGATGATTTCAAATGAAAAAGTTGTCAACTACAAAGTTACATAACTTTTTGAGATCTACAACTTTCGTATTGGTTGTTTCTCCATTTGAGGTCATTTTAAAAATTCAAATTTCAAATTTGAGAAATTCATACATAGTTTTCCTTAACAAGATAACTTCAAATGAAAAAGTTGTCAACCACAAAGTTGTTTAAATTTTTGAGATCTACAACTTTTATTTTGGATATTTCTCCATCCAAGGTCATTTATGAGACGCATGCAACATCAAAAACA